AAAGGACTTGGGAAAATATTTGTTAACATTCTTTACCTCTTTGAAAATACATTCTTCTTTAATCCCTATTTAAAAGAATATTTTAAAAAGTGAAGAATCATTTTTATTTGACTCCTTTCAAACGTGTGTGCTCCTTGTTTGCTATTTAGTTTCGTCACATGACTCAGAACAATGTACCAGTAAGTGATACACATTGGCCTAGCTATGATTAGTTCCACCCAGGGCGGGTCAAGATTTTTGCCCCCCCCCCAAACCCCACACAAGAAAACACTCTGCAGTTATATGAAAATGCCGCCCCTGCATATAAATTATAAAAAGTGCTGTCTCCTCCGCACCCCCCACTTCCCACGCCACTGTGGATACAGCGTAGAATCAGTGACCCTCAGACTGCAACAAAACAACTCGGAAAAAATCCTTCTTCGGGGCGAACAACAGTAAAAACAACGTACACAAATAAAAATAAACACTAAGCTGTAATCTAGCATCTGAGAGTTCAGGAAGCGACAGCAAGAGGACAGCACGAGGACAACAAGAGGACAGCAAGAGGACAGCACAAGAACACCAAGAGGACAGCAAGAGGACAGCAAGAGGACAGCAAGATGAAAGTGATAGACATTTGTCTTGTAATGTACCATCTGAGAGGACGGCAAAAGGTAGGTAAAAGACATTGTGTATCGCAATCTAGTATCTGGGAGGACAGAAAGTGACATGTGATAGACATTGGGTATTGTAATGTAGTATCCGAGAGGAGCAAGAGGCAAGTAAAAGAAATTGTGTATCGTAATGCATTATCTGAGATTACGGTAAGAGGCAGGTAAAAGACATTGTGTATCGTAATGTAGTATCTGAGAGGACGGCAAGATGCAGGTAAAAGACATTGTGTATCGTAATGTAGTATCTGAGAGGACGGCAAGAGGCAGGTAAAAGACATTTTGTATCGTAATGTAGTATATGAGAGGATGGCAAGAGGCAGGTAAAAGACATTTTGTACCATAATGTAGTATCTGAGAGGACGGCAAGAGGCAGGTAAAAGACATTTTGTATCATAATGTAGTATCTGAGAGGATGGCAAGAGGCAGGTAAAAGACATTTTGTATCGTAATGTAGTATCTGAGAAGACGGCAAGAGACAGGTAAAAGACATTTTGTATCGTAATGTAGTGTCGGAGAGGACAGCAAGAGGCAGGTAAAAGACATTTTGTATCGTAAAGTAGTGTCGGAGAGGACAGCAAGAGGTAGGTAAAAGACATTTTGTATCGTAATGTAGTGTCTGAGAGGACGGCAAGATGCATATGATAGACAGTGTGTGTTATGTAAGACGTGTTTACGTTATATTTCCCCCGTGCTTAGATTACTAGCAGACGTTGTGTGCGTGTTCGGCGTGGCCTATTTTATTTTGATCTTTGTTACCACAAAACAAGCTATGGTCTTTTCCTCTTGACTCGAATGGGGTACCACATTATAGTAAATTAAGAAATTTGGACAATATTCGAGTCACGACTACAATGTATATTCTGCCCCCGAATCTTCTTAGAAACAGGCGATACACACATATATCAAGCCGGGGAATTGAAAGAGGGAGAGAGATTGATTGATCGATATTTTTCACTTCACGAGACAAGTGTATTATTATGTGTACTCATATGTGTTTATTCGCATTCATTATTGTACTTTATTAATTGGCACATTGTACTAACTGTGTACCGGTACAAGACTTCTCATACTCTGTGAGTTGATGATTGTAATTATACTTCTTCTTCTTCTTCTATATCTTAAGGGCCCACGATCAATTTATTGGTCATTTTGGCTCCTATGCATGTAGATGGGATTTGCAATGTTTCTGTTACTGGTGGTGATGAGGAAATTATGCACTAGGGGTTTGAAGGCTTGAGGCAATAGACACAAATGTGTCTAGTGTTGTCGCCTCAACTGTTCCTTTTGAAAGATGGTTCCAGTCCCTGATTGTCTTGGGCAGGAATGAGCAGCTCCTATACTGGCTTCTTGCTGGTATGAGCCTGAATTGCCTGTCATGGCCTCGTCGCTGTCTATGGGGGAGAGGGACGAGTTTCTGTTTAATACTGGAACAGTGGACCAGCCCATTATTTATCTTGTACATCATGGAGAGCCTGGATTGTCGTCGTCGTTTCTCCAATGGTGACCAGCCTAGTGTTTCTAGCATGCTGCCAACACTAGAGGTATTCCTGTAGCGGTTTAGGACAAAACGTGCTGCTCGTCGCTGGACCGCCTCCAACCTGTCAATGCTCTTCTGGGTAAATGGGTCCCAGACTGAAGATGCATAATCTAAAATCGGACGGATAAAGGCTTTATATGCTCTTTTTTTCACACAGGAGTTGCCAATCTTTAGATTTCGCCTTAAGAACCCCAAGGCTTGGTTTGCTTGGTTACATACATTGTTAATATGCTCGTCCCAGCGGACCTCTCTTTGAATGGTAACACCCAGGTACTTTACGGAGGAAACTTGCTCAAGAATATGGCCGTGCAGTTTGTATTGGTAGTGTAGAGGAGTACAACTTCTAGAGATTGATAGTGTCTGGCACTTGGCAGGATGAAATTCCATGTCCTAGCTCATCTCCCACTCAGCTAACAGATTGAGATCCTGTTGTAGCTGGTCCTGGTCAGATCTGTTGGCGATCGTCCTATATCGTCTTTTGTTTTATAATTATATAAATACTTAAATAAATCCTATTAATTGTAATTAGTATTGTTTTGAGTGTCGTATTTTTGCTATTGTATTTCTCTATGGTATCGTCCTTTGTTGTGCACTCTTTAGAACGAGCCAATAACTTAAAACAAGAGATTATTTTCTCACAATAGAAGACAGTGCGTAACAGTGTGTCTTGCATCAACACGCCCTCCAGGTTGAACTTACAGAACAAACTGATTCAGACTTATGTGACATTGACACACCACATGGCATGAATGTCATGTTCTCCTACGTTTGTTAAATCTTTTCTCCTCCCCACCAATCGCAGCAGACATAATTTCTTGTTTTCGGTCCCTATTGCTTATATTATACTCTTACTTACATCAAATTTCTCTTGTTGTCCTCTTGCTGTCCTCTTGCTGTCCCTTGCTGCCCTCTTGCTGTCCGCTTGCTCTGTCCTTTTGGATGCTTCATTGAAGTTAAGCATTAATTTAATTTTATATCGTTTTTACTGTTGTTTGTTTCATGAAGGAGGCTTCTTGCCGACACGTTCGTTATTCTATTGGGTCCCCTTCGTTGGTTCGCTTATATCCTAATTTTTAGAGCCAGCCAGCCGACATTCTTTCTACTGTTTGGAGTATCGACAGTGTAACACTAAGTGTAAATTAGTTTGTAATTTTTTATGCACACATAACTTAATTACTGACAGCCAGCCAGCCAACCGGTCAAAATTTCTTCTAATTTTTTTATTTTATGTAACAAGTTTCGATGTCTAAATTACATCTGTGATGGAGTGGTTTAGACCAAATGGTGGCCAACCCAATCTGTGATGGAGTGGTTTAGACCAAATGGTGGCCAACCCAATCTGTGATGGAGTGGTTTAGACAAAATGGTGGCCAACCCAATCTGTGATGGAGTGGTTTAGACCAAATGTTGGCCAACCCAAAAACACTTCGCGGGCCGCGTAACATCACGCCTAATATAACAAAAACAATTTAAAAAATGAAAATAGTTGTTTATTTACTCTGTTTTGAAATAATTATCTATATATATTATATGGTAGTGGTAGCGAAGTGTGGACCACATACACCAGTCATAAGCGTAAACTCAACAGCTTCCATCAAAGATGTCTGCGTCGCATTTTGCGCATTCGTTGGCAGGACAGGGTGCCTAGCGTGGAGGTTTTGGAACGTGCACACATGTTTAGCATATTCTCCTTTCTTATCAAGAGGCGCCTTCGCTGGTTAGGTCATGTACGGAGAATGGAGGAAGGACGTATCGAAAGATTCTGCTGTATGGAGAGTTGGAAGAAGGGACAAGACATATTGGACGGCCACGCCTGAGATTTATTGACGTTTTCAAACGAAGCATGAGGGAAGCCAATATTGAAACAAACGAATGGGAGTTCATTGCCGAACATCGCTCCAACTGGCGAACAGCAGTGTTTGAAGGAGTAAAAAATGCAGAAGATACTCGAAATGAGGCCCTTAAATAAAAAAAAAAACAATTCGGAAATCAAGATCTTACCTGGATTCAATATTCTCCTGCAAGAGATGCGACCGTGATTGCCATTCTAGGATTGGCCTAGTGAGCCACACGTCAAAGTGTAGAACTATATAGCTACGCCATCGTCTCACGAAGACGGAAGGATGCCATATATATATATCTTATGATTGTACATCCAATTAGATAGTTCATCCACACATAACTATATATTAGATAGTTCATCCACACATAACTATATATTAGATAGTTCATCCACACATAACTATATTTTAGATAGTTCATCCACACATAACTATATATTAGATAGTTCATCCACACATAATCATCTAATGATTGTACATCCACTTAGATAGTTCATCGACACATAACTATCCGTTAGATACTTCCTCCTCCTCCTCATCCTCATGTCCCTTAGTCCTTGGACCGTTGGGACGCCACATATGACATGTGAACCATCCTCCTCCACTCCTCTCTGTCTTCAGCACTACGCACTGCATCGCCTGTCCTGTCCACTCTTTGATGTTATCCTCCCATCTTTTTCTTTGTCTTCCTCTTCTTCTCCCTCCTCTTGTGGTGCCCTGCAATATTTCTTTGGCAAGCCCTTGTTTCCTTGTTACGTGTCCGTACCATTGTAATTTGCGTTTTTTCACAGTCACCATTAGGTCATCGTACTCCCCAATTGCCTGACGAACCATTTCTTTCACTGTTTCATTGGAGATATGGTTCCTATAGCAGATGCCCAAAATGCTTCTGAAGCATCTCATCTCCATCACCTTTATTTTCCTTTCAAGATCGTCTGTTAATATCCAGGATTCGCAGGCATACAGGAAAATGGAGAGGACTAATGAGCGCATCAGCCTGATTTTGGTGCTGGGGGCTATATTTTTGTCATCCACAAAATGAAAATTTTAATGAAAATACAAAAATAAGACAAAACCATTTTTTTTTAAAATTTAATGCATACAAAAATGTTACGACTGTTTAAGGCAACTGGGTTCATGACAGTAGGCAAACAATTCATTCTATTAATCTGTCTAAATCCTTTTGTTTGCTTCTGATGATAAAATAAAATTGCACTGTAGACCCCATTACCCATACAAAAAAGACTGGTATTTAATGTTTAAATATTTATATTACCTCAAAATTATTAAATTTTTTTAGAGCACAATTTTAAAGATTTTTTTATAATTTAAAAAATACACCTCAATGTCCATATTGTCAAGGTCATGTCAAGGTAATGTCAATGTGATGTCAAGGTGATGTCAAGGTGATGTTGATTCTTACTGGCTTGCTTCTCTCCCCTTTGCGGTGGGTGTGAATTATTCTTTGTTCTTTCCCTTAACAAGCCGCCACACCTTCTTGGCACCTCGTCCCACCCCTGCCCCCGTGACACCAGTGATAATGGTTGAGGCGCCACTTAACCCTGCTGCTCCGATTGACTGAAGAACAGGGGTCACATACACCAAAATTCTGTGGAGACATTTTTAATTGGATTAGAGTGTAAAAAGAGCAATAGTACTGCTGTTGTTTTAAATCATAGTGATCCCCCCCCCCTCTCCGTTGACCGAGTGCCTTTCCCTAACAGCGCGTTCTCGTAACAATTGATGGCATAGCCGTGTGACTTCATGCCGTCTTATTAAGCGTCTCTAAAATGGTC